TGCAGCTTTGACGTGAAGACGCAGAGGGTGGATTCCCGGAGCGTCACTCCGGTGGACCATATGTTCCCTGGGGTGCCCTTGGACATGTACAACGTCTTCCAGTACCGAGGTGAGGGCTGCAGACGCGGGCGGGGGAGGGTCTTTGTGAGATACCGCCCACGCCAGCCTGCCGTGCCTCTGTGATTGGCCAAATTCCATGCACGCACGAGAAAGCCCTTGGAGATGGAGGCAATGTCCCAGCTCCGCAGGAGAACGAGACCTTCCCCAGGTCGTACAAGGACTCAGGGCCACAGCCAGGACTGGGACCCAGATTTCTGGCCTCCCCAGCTGTAGGCTGCCACAGGGCATGTGGTTTACAAGGAGGCTCATTCTTCATTAGCCGATCTTTATCGAGTGTCTATACTGTGTCAAGCACTGTGCTGCCCCTAGGAATACAGTGAGAAATAAAACAGTGCACAGCTGTGTGTCTTTGGGCAAGTCCTGCTACACTGAACTTCAGTTTCCCCAACTGTAAACTGGAGACGATAGTTATCTTTACTTTCACTGCTTACATCCCATCAGTTGACAAAGTCTGTTGACTCTACCACCAGTCTTCCTTTGAAGCTGTCTCCTTTGCAAACTCCTCTTCAAACAGTCCACTCAGCACTGCATATCTCACACATCTGTTTGTTTGTTTATCGCACTGGGAACTGGACTCAGGGCTATCACAGTGAACTATATTCCCAGCCCTTTGGTTTTATTTATCTCAATAAATTACTAGGTTGCCCAAGCTGGGCTTGAACTTGCACCCTTCCTGTTTGCCAGAGTACTGGGATTACAGATGTACGCCACCAAGTTCATCTCTATCTATCTATCTATCTATCATCTATCTATCATCTATCTATCTATCTATTTGTGGTACTGGGGATTGAATCCAGGACCTTCACACATAACTACATCCCTAGCCCTTTTGTTTATTTTTGTTTTTTTGAGAAAGGGTCTTGCTAGGTCGTCAAGTAAGTTATGACCCTACCTCAGCCTCCCAGACTGCTGGGATGACAGGTGTATGCCACCACGCCTAGGTCCCATCCCTTTAATGTATTCCCTGGGAGTCGGAGAGGTTAGGAGTGCAGGGCAGTGGTCCTGGGAGTGACTCCAAATCCATTCCAAGGTCAGAGAAACTAACCCGACCCATCCTCCCCCTTCCCCTCCTTAACTCTGTGTTCTCATCTGCTCCGGCCACTCCTGTCATTCACTGTGCTCCACCTACACTGCCTGCTTTGAACAGATCACGGTCATTCATAGCTTAGGGCCTTTGTGCCAGTTGCTCCCTTTGTCTGGAAGGGTTTTCCCCCTAAATTGTCACCAGGCTGCCTTTCAGTCATCCTTCAGATCCCAGTGCTAAGGCCACCATTTCAGAAAGACCTTTCTTGAGCATCATTTTCTATTCTCTTATTTGCATTTCTTCCACCTCGGTCTACACTGTCAGAATCGATCTCATTAATTTTCATGTTTGCTTGGTTAATTGTATGTCTTGCCTCACTAGAGTTAGAACCAAAAGAATTGAGATCATGCCTGCATTTTTCTCTGTTGTATTTCTAGTGCCTCTAATGTGCTTGACATATAGGCACTCAGCAGTTTTTTTTTTGTAGTTTTCTGGAGATCAACCCAGGGCCGTGTGCACGTTAGGGGAAAACACTACCTCTGAGCTACACTCCTAGCCCCAGTAAAATTTTTTGAATGAATGCATAGATTTGCTCAATGAATGAATGTTGAATGAAGTGTTCTGAACATTAAGATAGACCATCCATTCATTTGCTGATTCATTCATAAAATGTGTACACAGTACCTACTGTGTGCCAGGTTTCATGCCCTCCAGCATCTCACAGGAAAGTGGGGGAGGTGGACAATCATGTGAACAATTTTGGAAAGACCCAGAAAAGCCAGGAGGAATGATCGTAAAAATCTTACTCCTGTCTCTGTAGATGTATGTGGGAGGGTAGGAATCACCCCTCTCATGTGTGCCTCTCCCCTGCAGAGAAAGCCTACTTCTGCCAGGACCGCTTCTACTGGCGAGTGAGTTTCCGGAACGAAATGAACCAGGTGGACGAGGTGGGCTATGTGACCTATGACATCCTGCAGTGCCCTGAGAACTAGGGCCTCCATCCTGCTTCAACAGTGCCGGGCGGGTCCTGCCGGGGGCCATCCCAAGGGAGAAGGAGCCAGTTTGCCGGATACAGACTGGTGGTCCATTGTGGTGGATGAGAAGAAGTGGAGACGGGCTGGGCCCTCCCTTCACACCTTCCTTTTTTGTCAGGATGTTTCTAATAAACTTAGATTCTCTAACTTTTAGAAGAGGCTTTTATTTGCATATGCATATTCATAGGTATGTATGTAACTGGCAGAACACTTTTATATGCCAGGTGATGTTTTGGGCTCTTCGCAAATATTCATATATTCAGTCCTTCCTTTTAGGAAGGTATTATGTGGTTATTTCTATTTTGAAGACGATGAAATGACTAAGCTTTTTCTTCATCTGTCAACTATTTATTGAGCCTGTACGCGGGGCCAGGCTCTGCGCTGAGCACCGGGGATAGGAATGAATCGGACTATGGTCTGGTGGTCAAGGACCTCTCGGTGGTCCCAGACTTTACAGCACATAATATCATCCTGCTTAAAACCAGCCTCCAGGCTCCGCCCTCAGAGAGACCAACCCAGTTACAAGGGTCACTCTGTGGCTCCTGGGTGTGGGGCCACACTTGAGTTAAAAACAGGTTATCTTGGGCCGTGGATGTAGCTCAGTGGCAGTGCCTGCCTGGCAAGCAGCAAGCACAAGGTGCTGAGTTCGATCCCTGTACTGGAAAAAAAAATCAGGGGATTCTTTGTTGTTGATGGTGTGTGTGTGTGTGTGTGTGTGTGTGTGTGTGTGTGTGTGCATTGTGGTTGAAGTCCGAGAACATTTCCCAGACAAAATGAGCTCTCAAGTGGAACTGACCCAGGAAGGATGAGTGAGAGTGTCTTCCTGTGTAAGTAGGACAATCTCCTTAAAGGGAAGGCTATCAGGAACCACTGACCACTCACTCGTGTGTGCGTGAAAGGACATATACAAGAATACTGATCACAGCATTTTTCACATGGTGAGAAAGTGGGAGCAACTCAGTCCCCCAGAGTGAGGCAGTGGGTGGATAGAGTGTGGACACAGGGCAGTAGCTACCTTGACCAGCACCGTGTGCCAGGCCCTGCTCCATGTCCTTGTGGGTCAAAGCAATCCTCTGGGTCAGGCACTACTATTACCTTACCCAGACCATTATGGTGGTTATCACCAACTCCCTCTTTACAGAGAAGAATCCAAGGCACCGAGAACAACAGCTCACCGGCATCCTACAGCTGGTGAGCGGGGGCTGCAGGATCTGGAAGTGGGCTCTTGATGCAGATGCCGGGAGAAGAGAGGCAGTGAGAGAAGGGGGCAGGGAGAATTTTGGAAAGGTTGAGGAAGGAGAAGAGGCCTGGGCTGGAGGAGAGTGTAGGGAGCACAGATTTGACATCACAAGACAGTGAGTTGGGGTGGGCGAGCAGAGGTGATGAGCTTGGTTTTGGGTCTGCTCATCTTTTGGAACTTTTGGATCATCGCTTTTGGGGTTTAAGGAGGAGTTCAGGGAATCTCCCCGCAAGACTCCTTGGGGAGTCCCTATCTCCCTAACTCCTAGCTCATCTGTCTCTTGCCCTTGGTGGTGATCCACTCTCATCCACATACAAATATCCCATAATGTGCTTCTTTAAAATCCCTCATAAGCTGTGTCTCCCTCTAGATGCCCTTCCCTTGTTCTACCCCCATGCCCATTCACAGGAAACGTCCGCATGTGTGGTCTCTGTGCACTGTCTCCATTTCCTCAACTCCTGTTCTCCCCCTCAACCACTCAACCTGCCTGTCAGCCTACTACACCCCTGGAACCTCTGTCTCTAAGCCACCCATGAGCTCCCGCAGCCAATGCCACAGCCACGCCTCTGCTCACCCTATCCCGTCACCCCACATGTGACAATACTTCACCTGCCCATCCTCCTAAAATGCCTTCCTCACTGGACTCCAGGTCCTCCTCCCTCCTCACTGGTTGAATTGTCTTCTTTCCAACCTCTGAATGATGAAGTCCCCTTGCCCTCCTTACCTTCTGTATACTCACTGCCTGTGATCTCGGCTAGCCCCATAACTTTTTGTTTTGGGGGGTTACTAGGGATTGAACCCCAGGCCTTTCACACTGAGCTACATCCCTGATCCTTTAAAATTTTTATTTTGAGACAGAGTCTCACTAAGTCATTAAATTGCCTAGGTTGGGCTTGAACTTTCAACTCTTGAGTGCTAGGATTACAGGCGTGTGCCACCACACCCAATTCCCATAGCTTTAAATAGCATCTCTCTGCTAAAGACCCCCAATTTTATAATGCCAGCTTTACCCTCTCCTCTGAACTCTGTTATATACTTACCTGCCCACTACATATTGTTGCTTCAGTGATTAATGGGCATCTCACCCTAACATGTCCAAACCCAACTTTTGGGCACCACTTTCCAAACTTGTGTCTCCTTCAGCCCTTGCCATCTTAATAAAAGTATCATCTATCCTCAGTCAAGTTGAAAACCTGATCATCCTAACATCCAGAAACGAATTATTTAAACTTCTTATTCTAGTATAGGGTTTTTCAACTTCAGCATGACTGACATTTGAGGCTGGATACTTCTTTGTTGTGGAATGTAGCAGTATTTGTGTCTTTCTCTAAGAGGCAGCAGAACCCATAGCCAGATGCCAGGCCCATTTGGGGTCTTGTCACAAGTCCCACCATAGGGGCAGGGTGCAGGGAGGGGATGGTGAATTTGTGGTTTGTGGTTGGGCACGCTTGGTGCAAGCTAGATGATACCAGACGTCTTTAGCTACAAGATGTCAGGCTTGCCCCCTCTCTGGTTATGACAACTGAAAATCTTTCTGAGCCAAATAGCCCCTGATGGGTGACATGGCCCTCCGGTGGAGAAACATTATTTTAATATAATAAGCATATAGACAAATGCTCCTACCACAAGTGTATGTTGCAATATATATTTCACAATGCAACTCTGTGTAACCAGCACCTAGACTAGGAACAAAACATTATCAGCACTTTATTTATTTATTTATTTTTATTTTTGTACCAGGGATGGAACTCTGGTCCTTGCTCTTGCAAGGCAGGTGGCGGAACCACTGAGCTAAATTCCAGGCCCTATTCGCACTTTAGAAGACCCCCCAGAGCCCCTTTGCAATTACTTTTCCCCATCAGTCACTACCCTTTTACTTCTAAAATTCAAACAGACTTTGACTATTTTTATGCTGTCTAAATAGTGTTATAAGGTATGTAGTACTCTTGTGTCTGGATTTTTTATATTTTTTATATATTTATGTTATATTTGTGAGATTCATCCATGTGTGTTCTGTAAGTTACAGATTGTTTATTCTTAGCACCATGTAGTGTTTCATTGTGTGAAGTTACCACAGCTTATCTAGTTTATTATTGATACATATTTGGGTGGTTTCCAAATTGGGGCTGCTATGAATAATGCCACTATGAAGATGTTTTTTTTGGAGACAGAGTCTTGTTATATAGTTCAGGATGGGCTTGGGCTCACAGTGTGGCCCAGGTTGGCTTTGAACTCATGATTCTCACAGGCTTCCAGGTGCTGGGATTATGGTGTACGCCACACCTGTGAAAGTGTGTGTGTGTGTGTGTGTGTGTGTGTGTGTGTGTGTGTGTGTGGTGCTGGGGATGGAACTCAGGGCCTCGCACATGCTAGGTAAGGGCTGTACCCTGGAGCCACACTGCAGCCACTATGAAGACTCTTATAAATGTCTTTCAGTGCACACGGGCAGTCACTGCTTTTGAGTGTATACCTAGGATTACAAGTGCTCTATTAAAATCTATGTATAAGTTCATCCAGCTTTCTTAGATGTGACTCAAAGTAGTTCTGCCTATCTACACGCCCACCAGTGATTCTCCTGTACGCACTCCTTTTTTTTTGAGACAGGGTCTCACTATATAGTTGAGACTGACCTGGAACTCACTGTGTAGCCCAGGCTGGTCTTGAACTCACAGCGATCCTCCTGCCTCAGCCTCCTGAGTGCTGAGATTACAGGCATGTGCCACCACATCCGGCTTGTATGCACTCCTTTCACCACATGCCATATCCAACCAGCAGTGGATCCTGCTGGGTCCAGTTCTATAACTTGCCTGGACCACTCCAGGTGTTTATCATCACCTCCCACCTGGGGGTTTGCAGGGGGCTCCTAATTAGATCCACTAAGGAGGTTCCACTTGTGCTTTTCTTTTCTTTTTGGTACTGAGAATTGAACTCAGGACCATGTGCTTGCAAGGCAGGCAGCGGTATTTTTCTTTAGTTGAGTGTTCACCCAACAGCCAGAGTGATTGGTCTTGTTAAAATATAAAGCCAATCACATCATTCCCTTGTTCAAAAAATTCCAGTAGTTTCCCTTGTGGATCCAAAAAAAAAAAAAAAAATCCAAAAGATTCACCAGAGATGTCAAAAGAACATTTGCTCTGCCTCCCACTCTCCTACCTTCTCCTCTGTCACTCACTTCCCCACTCATCTGTTCCAGACACAGTGGCCATCTTGCTTCTTCTTCTTTTTTTTTTTGGTACCAGGGATGGAATTCGGGCCTTTGTGAGGCAGGCGGGGGAATCACTGAGCCAAATCCCCGGACCCTTTTGGCTTCTTGAATAGTGTGAATTCCTGCTCATTCCAAGGCCTTTGCTTTTGCTCTTTCTTCTAACAGCATTTTGCGCCCCAGTTTTTTGCATAGCTAGCCCTTCGCATCAGTAAGGTCTCAACTCAAATAGCGCATCTTCTGGGAGGCTTTCTTAGGCCACTCCTTGAAATAGTTCCTTCTAATCATTACCCCACGGGGCTGTTTTTTTTCTTCTTGACGTATACCACAATCTCAAATGATCTTACCTGTGTGTTTGCTCACCAATACTCCACATGAGAGCCACCGGGTGTTTAGGGTTTAGGGGAGCCCAGCAAAGGTGGGCGCGGCCTGCAGGAGCCACACACTAGGCCCCGGGTGATGAAGGATGACTGTTAGCTGGGTGGGCTTCTCAGGCGCTTGAGTGGAACTGAGGGCCCAGGGCCTGGGAGCACAGTGGCCATGTCTAGGGAGGCTGGGCACGGCGGGCACTAGGACCCTGCGCGATGCGGCACGGCGGGCAGGGGGTGGGGTGGGGGATCCGCTGTTCCTCCTGCCCGGAGC